GTGTGAACTAATAAAATACAATGTGGAACACATAAAAGCCAAGGCGTTTAAATGTGAAGGAGCTGCTGTCGACGTACATGCATATAAATTAATGCATGCTGGTACGTTGAAAGCGAGAAAGTGTCATGTCTAAATCACTCTAACAACGATTACGTACACACATGCTTATACGCACACATATGTATACGTATACAAATCCGTAATCCATACTTGTACATAATATCTACTATCTACTTGAGTATTTTTATAACTGTCAGTTATGTGTCCGACGGTATGTATTTTGCACCAAGGCAGGAAATAGATTGAGTGAAATAAAAAAAAAACTAACACGCAGAGTAAACAATATTATATTTAACGCTTTCGAACACATATTCATAAGATACCTTACGTACATAAATAAGTAGATATGTGGGAAGAAAAAATGGGATATTGGATAGAAATGATAAAAAATTTGTGTTACATACTCATAATTATTTCTACAAATTAGTGGAATAAATAAAGCAGATTATTTGTACTTGGCAGATCGCAGAAATAGCATAAGCTGTCTATCATCTATCAGGCGCGCTTGGCAAATCCTTATGCAAACAAATCGTAATAGCCGCGCTTAGCTCTTTAAGCTGAGCCCGCAACTTACAGTAGCAGTTTCTTACGAAATACGATGTATATGCTCAAACGTGCACACTATAGACAGAAACGTCCACTGGGAGCTCAAACAAATCCGATGCTCAACCTTTACCGTAGTTATGTGCTATCTTCTGCTGGGAAAATAAAAAGCGCTTGATCGTTCTTAGGTTTTGCCTAACGAACTTTTCGCCTTCCAGACGTTTGCTGATCAAATGAATTTATGACTTACACCTTCCACTTTTGGAATTAGTGTCACTTTGTCTTTTTAACGTTTGTCATCATTCAAAATATACTTAACTGGCAATGCTTTGCAGCATACAATGTTTGGAAGACGTTGAAATGATATAATTTCCAAAATTTTATTGTTTTTTAATGTTTTGTGAAATATGCTGTGTAATAATGTTGTGGAATTATTCTAAAAATATGAGCGAAATCTGTTTCTATCTATTCCTGCAACTACAACTTTTTCAACGCATGAATTTTAGTCTAAGTAAAGTTATTTTATTACTAATTTATTACTCTTTAAGCAAAGATGTTGTTAAGTATCTTATTACGGTTGACAATAAATTTAAAAAACTACCTTAGTTTCCCCTAAAAATGTTGAACATCATATGCTAACACTAAATTGTCCTAGCTTCGATGTGTATATATATATGTATATATATGAGCGNATATACATATAAAATAGTGTACTGTCAATGTAATTATCAGCATATAATCATTTTACATATGTTTTTGGGTGTGATTAGACTTTTGTTCTCAATTTGCGTATAATATTATCTTCTACTTCCCCGGTCGTATATGACCGTTTATCGAGAACTTATCATCACAGTGTTTCTATCACTTTTTAATTTGATTTCTCTCATAGTAATTTTTAATCCTTATCCTTAACCAGTCTTATGAATTCGTAAGACTTTAAAAAAAGATTTCAACTTACAATACACAGTAGACATTCGTAAAACATCGTAGAAGTCATTTTTAACGCCTTAAAAAATTTTAAAACAACGTTTACTATTGGGATGGTAAGTTACACCTAATTAAAATAAAAAGATACTTAATAACAAAAAGAATTCTCTATATATTTCTAAGTCGTTAAAAAAAATATTAATATATGCATTGCATCCTTTAATATACATCCATATTCAGATGGCAATGTTGGTTCGAGCAGTTTGGTTGACAGCAGTACACATGAGTTTGATTTTTGTTCAAGTTTAATAGATAATTAAAATTTTTTTTGAACCTAAGATGTTTCAATTAGTCCTGTGCTTTGACATACGAAAATGTGATAGATTAAAAAAGTATTTGGAAATTTTGATAACTGCTACACTTACTTAAATATCCAATGAGTTTTAAATGGAAATCTTTGCATTTGGTGTTGTATTTTTGGAAGCATTTCCAACGTGTCACGGATTCGACAAAGCAAGCCATTTTGCATCTTAAAAAACATAGGATGAGAACATTTCTTTTCCCAGTAATCAGATCCAAACAATTGACTAAACATTGTGTTAGAAAGCAATTGTAAAATGCCATACAAATTGCATTTTATAAACCTTTTGATCCATGTGCAACGATTTCTTTGGGCTTTAAAGCATCAGATTCGTATGTAATGAAATCGTTTAAAAATATTGCTGTATGATATTCTGATACCCATTAAAAAATGGGATGAATTTTTTTACTGAATAATTACATTATAACATGTAAAAAGATGAGATAAAGTCTATTTATAAAAATTTTTATAATGAAACGCCCAGCTGCACTGTTCCATAAATCCAGCTGTTCTGGGGTCTGAATATCATGATGAAAAGAAGNTTATTAATAAATACTTTTACTAATACAATTTTTCTGGAGCATTTTTTTTATTTTAGATATAAAATTAAACAATTCTCTTCTCATGGAGGTTTGCTGTTTTAAAGTATGTAGTTAGTTTTTGGTGGAGTAAGAAAAATACCAATTTGGTTAATGACTAATGTTTGTACTTAATTATTAAATATTTGTATATAGCAGTAACAGATAGGATGAAATAAAAATAAAAATAAATAATTAATAAAAAAGTAATAAGACATTGCAGTGACAAAAGGGTCTTCGGAAAAAATTTTTCCACTTTCTAACCTCAAAATAACACCTTCGCCGCTTGATCCCGGGTTCTCAGGCGAAAAAATAGTTCAAGAATCTCTTTTGAAATGGCTTTTTTACGATTCTTCTTATGTTCCTCACCTTTGGCCCGTTCCATCAACCTCCCGGTTCGTAATTCGAAGCCTTTGTGAAATCGTACGTTAAACATTGTATGTTTTGAGGAGCAGACCCACGCACTTCTTACTCAATGACGTGACTATTGCGTAAGAAGGGCATCTACTTTTCAAACCTTACGATGTGCTGCTAGAGATACTATTACTGTGGTGTTCCTTCAATTACAGTATTTAGTTTAGATTTACAAATTATAGTAAATGCAGTTTAACACACTTATGATGGACGTATTTATGTAGTTGTATATATGGTTGACGCCCTAATCTCTTTGCTAACATGTATTGAAACCAATTTTTATTATTAAAATATTGTGAAAAATGTCAAAGCTGTAATTATTATAATCTGCTTAATATATTTTGAAATTTCCGAATGAAACGAAACACGGACAATTACATTATTTAGCACAACAAAACTTAAACTTAACTGCTATTGAAAATTATTTAAGGCTGTTTTTGAGATTTATTAGTTTTTACTGAACAGTGTATGCAAAACTGAAGTTAAATTTTTTTAAATAACTTTTGCATTTATTTTAAAGTTGAAATTTTGAAATCACTTTTACTATTACCATTAGTATTTAGGGACAAAATTCAATTTTGAAGACACTAATGTCACAAAAAGTGAATATAAATATTTCGTGAAATTTTAATCAGCTCATCGTAATTCTTACAGTTTTTCTCGTAATTTTTATCTTAATTAAAAATAAGTTTAGTCATATCCAAGAACATTTTTTATACAAACATCTCTTTAGCTTGGAAAGTTTGAAGTTGAATGATTTAACATCTGAATAAATAAGATGAGAGCAGAAAATCTAAATTCAATTTTATATCCGTGCCCTAGAAAATACTTATAACTAATCACAAAATTCTAAATTCTTTAAATCTTTAATTTTTTTATTGTTTGAGATGCTTTAGGAAGCATCTATCTCAAGAAGTACCATTACAAAAACTAATTAATAATGGCAAAAAATGGCGCTGTTCTTCATAGGGCTTTCTCAGAAATAAATATAGGATGGACTTAGTTTTTTTACTTAATTTTTTGCCAACATCTTCGCGCACAATAGTCATAGGGAGACCTTTCGAAATTTTTTTTACACTTCAGCTGGAAAATAATGCAAAAGAATAATGTTAAAGCATTTACCATAAGGTATCGCTATCATAACTAAATAAGTAAAAGTTAACGTATTATAGTTAAGCTGACGATACTATCTACTGCAATAGTTTATCCTTCATGACTTACTAGTACCGATAGTAACTTATTACTTGCTCAAAACTTAGCAGCATTAACTGATTATTGTAATAATAATCAACTCAAAATAATTCAGTAGTTTTTAGATTGTACTTCAAGTAATTTTTACTCATCTTTAGGACTGGGGTCCATCGTATATGTACATATAAAGAGTAGGCTTAGCTCACAGTGCGCTTTATGGGTCAACTCCTTTTCCCGCTATACTGATACGTATCTTTAATATTTCATTTTTTTTATATCACAGTGTCATACGTCCAGGTACACAAATTTAGACGGTTCAGGGCACTCAATATTTTAAAAAGGGACAAGAAAAGGAGGCCACCCATTACAGGGAAGGACTAGGGGAAAAAGAGGCAATTCTGCTTCAGGAAGGTTTCACATCCTCAATTTCGCATTGTGCAGTGACAAAGCACATGTGAAAATTCATGGAGGTACTTACTCTAAAAATCATATTGGCTAGGAATCGAGCCGTGGTCTCTCATAAGCCAACACACAACCTAGCCAACTGAACCACCACGTGCTCTTATATTTCTTAAATTGATGAAAACTTATTTACAAATAAATACAGTCATGGAAATGGCGCTGTCAAAATTTGAAGGCACGAGGGTTCCTAAGAGCCGAGTAATTAATATTCATATTTAACTATTTTTTACATGTAGGCTTATGGGCCGTTGACTTTTTAAGCGTTTCTATTGCATTTACCTCGTTTATTAACAATGAACTTTAGATCGAAATTTTATCAATGATAAAAAAATATCTAATGATCGTATATGAATTTTATTGAACTTATATTTTTCATTACCTGAAACCATAGTTACTAACCTGTTGCTATTGTTTTAGTACGTAGATGTAATAAAATTTGGATTTGAACTTATCTTAAAGTCTATATGTTGTAAAGTAATATTAAAAATGAAATTTTAGTTCCTTTAATTAAAGATTAAAAGGTTTAAACTATTTATTGTTACAGCTTGGATTTTAGGGTGGTTTATGTGCAAAACTGTACCATACATCCAAGGCGTTTCTGTGGCTGCATCTGTCTACAGTTTGGTGGCTGTTTCGTTAGATCGGTACGTTAAATTTAATTTTATGTACACAATTTTTGTAATTTTTACATGCCGTATTACTTGTATGGATTTTTATTCACACCTTACACCCATATAATACGGTTTCAATTTTGTCATCGTAAAATTTAAAACAATTTCTATCAACCAATACAGTTAGCAGAGCATCATAGCAAAATTGTTTCCCATGTCGCCGAAAAGTTCTCGAAAATTTTTTGTAGAAAATTAAATCCGTCACGAGAAGTAGGATTTTATCGGTGCAGCTACTTGGAGAGAAAGTTTTAGCCTTAAGGAGGCTTGGGCGTTTAGTGTCGTATCAACTGAGGGGCCCCTATGGGGTACTTATCATGTAAATGATTATTCGTATTTTTTTTCACAATTATATTTATCATATAAGTGTGTAAACGAAATATCAGTAATACGCGTAAAGTCACCGGGATATAGATATTTAAAAAATTATTAGTTTTCCCGAGATACTTTGTGTAAAGATGACCGCCCTGCCACGATCCACGATAAAACTGACAACACCGAACTCTCTTGCTCTCATGTTCTATTATATACCTATACTTGTGTTGGACTCAAATCTTTATGCTTGTTAGTTTATGTATGTAGAGCGCATGCGGACTTACAATACCTGAACAAATCAATTTTCACGCTCGATATTTTCCTCACTGTTTTCTCATAATTTAACGTGTTGACCCTATCTTATTTTTTTAAGTAATAGATTCTTTATAATTAAAAGTATATGTACCAATTCGACTTCTGAGCCCACAGCTTTTTATTGCAATACAATAGTCAATTCAATTTCGGGTTCAATAAGGTTACGTGTTAAAATGACGAATTTTCACAAGCGATTTTCTTGAAAATAAATGTATTGACCTACCTATTTCTTTTTCATAAAAAAATCTTGCGTACATTACATTCGTAATCTCTGAATTTCAGAGCTAGCCAGCATTTTATTCAAAATCGCCCAAGCCTCCTTAAGGACGTTCATCACACATTTTTTGTACGATCTTCCTGAAATTTCAACAGGATGCTCGTAATGATGTGAGAAAGTTACATGTAAAATTTGAGATCGTTTTACAACACCGTTTCTTAAATATCGAATGTTAAAAAACGAATTTAACACGTAAATTTAAGGAGGAGTCACATGAAACTGGAATTTATTAGAAAATGGTTCGTAGAATTTTTCCAATTTTTTTTTGCATGACGCAATACCATAATACGGGTCTTATTCTCAATTTTCAGAGAGATCGACAAGTTACTTTTGCAGATAAATAAAAAAAAAAAGTGTCAGACCCCTATATATAGGTATACAAATGTATTCAAAACAGTTGCCAGCGCTGCCGCATGCTCGCTCCCTCCTCACTGCACTCTACATTTTCCCTCTAACTGTGATGAACGTCCTTAAGTACTCGGGCTCATACTTATGGATATACACTCCTGAATTCGATTCTTCTTTTGCGTTGTCATTTGTTAACTCGGAGGTGCCTTTTATCAGATTACCTTTTTTGCACAGTAAAAAAGTAAAATAAAAACTAATTAATTACTGAACAAATACAGTAAATGATGGACTATATCATATTGTATCACCGTCTCTAGAGTATACACATTGGTAGACAAACTATTCAAGTAGTGCATTAAGTAATTTTACAACTATTTTAAACACGAACTTTTAATAGACAAATTATTGACACACGTGTTCTCATAAATAAAAAACAATTTATTGACGCAAGTTATCTTTGTTATCATACATTAAATTTATCGTCATCTTCCTGCTGTAGTACACCATTTACTTACGTTATAATTTTGAAAAAACGTGATGCTATAACTGAATTTTATTTAATCCTAATTTTTTTTATCAAATTTTTCTCTTTTTATTCCTGCTTTCGTAAAGATTCATAATTGCAACTAAATGCTAGTATAAAAAAAGTCTTGTTGTTGAATTATGCTAATCAATGCATTTAAACTTCAAAATACTACAATACATAACAATATCTCATAACGTTTAATGAAATGTCAAAGAAATATGTGAGATTGTACCTTAACGTATTCAAAGATATTGCTTTTTTTCATTAGTGATTTTTTTTATGGCACAGGCTAAATAGCTAATAATACAATCGAACGCCAAAAATAAAACGCACGTGTTTATTAAATCACTCAATCATTATTTGTAAGTACATAGGAATTCCCATTAGACATTGCAATATATATACACTACACATGTTGGTCATTCACCGTATCAACATCAGGAGTAGCATGAAATTTCTGTGAAATAGTAGGTACACTTTTAAACTTGAATTTTTGAAATTACTCCATTTATATTTATAATTACTCAAGTAATATATTAATTTAATTAACATGTAAGAGTACGTCAAACAGCTGCTAGTAAACACTGTTGAGATTCTCTCATACGTTTATCTTACTTAGGTAGTTCGCCATTCAAAGGTTTTTATTATATATTAATATCATTAGTAAGAAAATAAAAAACAAGGAGACTTATATGTTGCTACGAAATCATAATTGCCTATTTCACAAATGTATACAAATAGCACCTGATAAACTATCATTAGTTTATTAGTATCATATACTAAAATGCGATGATAAAAATTCTTTTTACGTAGTTTATGAACTAATTCACATTAGCTGTCGTACGACTGGAGCTATAAAATGTAAATCTGTGATGATAATCTTAATAGCATTAGAAGAATAAAGTGCAATGAATAACAAAAGTAATTAAACAATTTTATACTTCAAAATGCTAAGATTGTGAAATTAAAAAACAGATGCTTGTATATTGTTAATTCCAGCTTTTCCTGACATATTTTTTTGAATATTAAGAACATTATTACATCAATTCATTGGTAATCGCGAGAAAATATCTCTAACCAACATTGGAAGTTTGTTTTAAATTAAACATTTGAGTGCTTCAAACATCGCGTCACGTTGGGCTCTCGACTTAAGAAAGCAAGGCTTGATTCTTTTTTTCTTTACCATTTCCCGACGTAGTTACTTGGATTTATTATATTTCTACATTTTGCGTTAACGTTTTGCGATCCCATTAAAAATAACTGAATAACTTAAGACTGAATGGGATAGTATAAAAAATAATAATATTAACTTGAGATGGACTACTCGACCATTTATAAACAAGAAAATATAAGCTTGCAAAAAATTAGTTAAGACTCCTATACGGCCACATCGGTATACTTTTTTTATACGGTAGGTTAGTAAGCTCTTAGGATCTAGTAACAATGTGCCCTTATAAATTCAATATTGATAGCATTTTTACAAAAATGATGAATGAAATGTAATTGCAATCATAGACTTGGGCAGTAAAATTATCACAAGAGTATTTGTAACCGTTATCTTGGCACGCACTTGGCTTCAATAGAGAATACAGCCCATACCCAACGGACGGGTGGCGAATGGCACTTCTCTTTAGCGCACGTGCGTAATACCTATACCTACGTACACTTACCAGGTATCGAGATTATATTAGCTATAGCAACAGTTGCTGAGCAATGATGTCATGCAATACTATACTCGCTTATAATATATGCTCTCACCTTACTTGCTCACTTTTACTCGGTATCTCTATCGGCTCTTATGTAATTTTACAATAAAACTACTGCTGCTACTTATACAATATAGATTATGATACGAGTAAGCCATGCATACATAGAACCTAGTGCACGACCAAGTAAAAATCAAAAACCAAAGCCACACAATTGTGCAACGATATCTCTCTCGCTCACACAATCACACACACCCTCACGCACATATATAATATACTCACGCAAAAAGCGCCGTCCTTTTACATCCAACTCGCGATGCAAGCCTTCCACACCCAGCCTCAGTAACTATATAGCTTCAAATTTCTATGGGTCTTGGAGCTATTGCCATTGCTACCACTTGCAGAGAGTATCCAAACACAAATCGTATGTTTTAATGGTGTACGTGAACATAATTATATTTACGGTCTAAAACAACAATTAACTCAACTCCGTTTTTTAACGCTGTAATTTACTAGCAGTGTATTTACATAATGTGTATGATTCCCGCTTGGAGAGAGCTTATATTCGATTTACTCAAAAGTGCTTCTCTTTCACTATGTATGAACGCTTAGTGCGAAAAATTAATATGGCTATTAAAAGAGGCTGTATATCGGACAGTGTTGTCAATTGCTTACATCATATTATGGTTCATTGGAACTTTGCTTGATCTGCTCAAGTTTTTGCAATCATTCCAAATTCGTACTGATCCAGAACTACATATGCATTGTTGCTATATTAGAAGGGTGCATGTTCAGGCTTGAGGGTTGTAGGCATAACAACAGTAAAAATTGCAGTGATAATATGAGTTTGTAGTTATAATAGCACTATAGCAACCAAGAGACCTGGTTTAGAGTCCAACATCGGTTATGTGCTTAAGTGCCATTATAAATTGACAGGAGATACTGTAATTTACTTGAGTGGCTTTTAACGACTTTTTTTATGCTATTCATGTTTTTTGTTAGGTGCATGTTTTTACAGAAAAAGCTATTTTGTTACTTACAACAGCTGTGGTGGTACAACACGTTGTAGTCATTATTTAATTGACAACCATAAAAAATTTCACTACTATAGTAAATTAGGGGGTTTACGTTTATGATAAGGAAAATCGATGAGCTTTTGAAACAGTTGGTTTTTGTTGAAGACAAAAAAAAACCTTACTTCTACTCACTTCTTTGAAAAAATGCAAGTGATATTATTTAACACAAACAAATGCCTTTACTTGAGTTTTTACTTATTATGTAAGATTGAGGTTAGAAAAATTTATTATTACCGCGGTAAGATTACTATGGTAAATTTCTAATGATAACACCAAATGGTGTTTGTACAAAGGCATTTGTAATTTAAAAACTTTAAAGATGAAAATTGGCAATCTTGGCCGAGTGATCGCTGTGCCTAAGTAGTGCCCTTAGCTGCAATTGCTAAGTTTACTAACTTGACATTTGCACTTAA